TAAACTATGAGTATTATTCTTGCGTTTACGTTGTAGTTTATTTCAGAGTTTCAATAAAAAATTTTCTATGAAATGATATTTCTAATATTATTATTATCAAAATTAAGATTTTTTAATAATTTATTTTTCATTTTAATTTTCAGGTGTATTTTCAAATTTAAAATTTAACAATTTTGAAGATAATGAAGGGGATTCACTGGCTGAATTTATCAGTTTTTATATGTAGTTTTATATTTTGGTACATTAACGCTGGGTGGCGCCACACGTTTTTCAGTCCTAAGGAGTGCATTTCTCACTTTTTCACTCCTAAGTAGTGCATTTCTCACTTTTATACTGCTCAACGGTAAAAAGACCTACTTCTCATGCTTAACTACCGTCGGTAAAAGAGCCCTTTTTGGGCTTGAGCAATGAAAAAGTACTTCCTCCTAGTACTTTTCATACTTGCTTAGCAAATATTGTACTTCACCCAAGGACATGAAAAGTACTTGGGACAAGTAGTTTCCCAACTTTTCACAAGAAAACTTCTCCCAAGTAGAATTCAGTACTGGTGAGTAGTAACTTTTTTTTAGAGTGTATGATAGTAAATCTCAAAAAAGTAGCATTGACCCCAAACAATGAATTCCAGAAATTCACACTCTAAAGTGTGTTCTATAAGAAATTAAATTATAATTATGATTAAAATCTTATTCAGTGAGCACAGAAATTACAACATGAGCAAATCATTTACTGTAACATGAAAATTTAACAGCTGATAAATTGGCACATATGATTCTCATCGCTCATATTACTTTTTGCAATGAGAATGATTATAAACAATGAATTCAGTAGCGAAGTAGTAAAAGGAGATGAGTCGATTTTGACTATTGACCAGTTTTCAATCAATATCTCGGAATCTAAGAGAGATAGCAAAATTTTGGTTATAACCTTTTTTGTGGAGCCGATTGAGTGCTACAACAAATATAATTACTAAAATTTCGCTATCTCCCTTGGATTCGGAAATATTTCTCAAAAACTCAACTGGGAGATAAGTCGACTTATCTCCGTTTACCACTTCACTACTGAATTAAAAAAAGGAATATCGAATCTGAAAGGAAAAAAGCATAATGTAAGGGCATCAAGATCTAACAGTGAAACGAAATGAAACGAATTCACGCAGCCACGTATTCCACATTTTTATTAAACACTCTACCGTAATGAGACCGAGATGTGCAGACCGGTGCACAATCATTGAGATAAGAAATGTACGTGAGTAGGAGATAGGGTGGGCTATAACAGTCGCTTTTTATCCAGACGATTTGCCGAGGCATTCGTGCGTGAGACCTCAACGACAAACGCAAATGGTAAACTAAACAAACTCTAATATGAAGAGATACGCCAGTTTCGCTGTTCCCATGTCCCAGGTAAACCAAGTACATCTACCAACATGCAGGTATATTTCAAGCAGAAGCGTTATTTGATCAGCATCTAGACGTGTTTGCTCTGTTGGTTGAAGGTACATGCCTCTCAACGGTCGATGACATGACTCTCAAGCTGTCTCTCGACGAATTTTCCTATGGAAATATCTGGAGAGATGCTCAGGGTTTTTTTTATTTCCTCCATTGCCGCACCGAGGTAACCTTGCTTTGATGTTCTAACGAGGTTTTTGGACAGCGCCGGTAGTGATGGCAAGGGCAGATGGCCTATTCCCTTCGAGAATTTGAAAAAAGAGATGCGGCACTAGGGACCACCCCGAAAATTCTTGAACGGGTTTCCAAGTCTCTGGATGGTACCATAAATAAGAGACGCGTTGTGGTTCCACCCACGCGAACTAACCCACGTTCCAATGTTTTTATGGAGGAACCGAGCGGAGGTAGGTTAGTCGTATTTGGGTAGAGGGAAAGGATTGTGATGGTTTTATTCTAAAACATGGAGTGTATGTGATCAAGGTATTGGAATTCTTAGCTATCGAAGGAAAAGATGTTGGTCGATATTGTATGGATGATCATGGATACGGAGAGAAAAGTTGGAGAAAAATTATCTAAGGAATCGCGGAGAATTTTACTGTAGGAAAGGTAATCGTGGAACAAAATTGGAATTCAATAAAAAAAAATGGGAAATTACTTTCGTCACAACATGATCAATAAAATTTTGGTAATAAATTAGGGGAGGGTGGGGCAAAACGGACCACTGATAGAAAATTGATAATTTTTGTTTTTGATTCCGAATGGAAGGAAAAATAACAATTCAAAGTCATATGTAGTTTGAGGTGATTAGCAAATCTGATCGAATTGCGCTTCAACGACACGTCTTGTCTATCAAACCCCTGTGACGGTCCCTTTTGCCCTTCGGTCTGTTTTGCCCTCCCGGTCCGTTTTGCTCTACCCTCCTCTAGTAATTTGCTTGCGACAGGAATTTCTATGATGATATATTTTAACTTGAATTCAATGATTCATTGAATTCGATATCTGTCTCGTCTCGTCTCGTCTCGTGAACTTAAAAAACCGAAAATCTCGAGATCCACGCAAGATAAATCCTCCTGGAATTATGACGAGATGCACCGATCCAATATCTTTCGAGATTGCGACGATTCCAAAACTTTCGATGTTTTTCCAGACCGTAATGATCTCTTCAAAATAATTCTCCACTAGTCTCAACGGCATCACTAGAATTTTGCATTTGACGAATACGATACTTCCATTCAGAAGGAATACTTTTTGCGGAGGATATCTTACGATTCGTTTAATAAGAAAAATACATATCTATGGATACCGACGGCGGTGGCTGTGTGGTTAGAATGTGGGATTGGCATGCGGGAGATCCGGGTTCGATTCCCGGCAGGGGGAGCCAAAATTTGTGACACTCTAAATCTCACGGTTTCATTATCGAGTGTCAGTCTCGCAAGAGACGACTGTACCTGGGTAGGTTTTTTCCCCAAATGCGTATTTCCTCAAATGAGAACGGAACAAATGGTAAGAATCTGGAAGGGTATACGAGAGAACGGAAAAATTACATATCTATAGATGCAAAAATTACTGTTCCCTGTATAGTACAATTTCCCGCAGAGATCAGGTATCATTTCGGATTTCGATGACCGCATTTCGGATTTACATCACGAGAAAAAAATTTTTTTGTTTTTGATTTTTTCCTCTCACTGACAGACTGATTCATTTATTCCAAACGAGATTCGTTAACCATTAGCGAATGGTAGAGTTCACTATGACCAAATGAATATCCGTTAATGGTTAAAGAATGGTTCACTTGAAAAGTGAAAATCGAGTCAAACAAGGCTCCTCAAATGTGCATTTGTTAACTATTAATGAATGAATATTTGGTGATACCAAATAGACTCTCGTCTGCAACCAAATTAATTCGTTAAGAATAACTAATCCTTTCTATCAGTGTAGCAAATCCTAAAATTTTGTAACCGACCATATTTTTTCTCACATAAGATTCCGATTACGTATGATTACAACGTGGAATAACAAAAAAACAACGAATTTTAGGATTTGCTAAGAGAACAAAAAATCCAAAACTAAAAAAATCCCTTTCCCATGATATAATACAGATAAATCAAAACGGATACTTTTCGAACGGGTTTGTTCATTGGAGTATAACAAACATTTTTTAAAAAGTTGAAATCGGTTGAAAACTGTGGTGTAAGGAGCATTTTCAAGCTAAAAACGTGAAAAATTACGTTTTTGGTGGATATACGGGGTAAAAAGGGTTGGGTCTGAAATTTTTCTTACTTTTAAATATATCCCTTAT